CACCTCCATCATGTCACATAATTATTATTTCTTTTTTGTAGTGAAAACAATTAAGATCTAGTCTCTTAGAAACTCTGAAGTTTATAATACAGTATTGTATTATAAACTATCTTGTTGACTATTGTTGACTATAATCACTATGCTGGTGACTGGAACTCCAGGATTTATTTGTCCCTTAGTTGAAAGTTTGTATCCTTAAACAAATCTCCCCAATTCCTCCACAGTCCCACCCCAAACCCCTGGTAACTACCATTATACTCTCTCTTTTTATGAGATCTTTTTTTTTTTTTTAGATTCCACATATAAATTATATCTTACAGTATTTTTCTTGGTCTGTCTGACTTATCTCACGTCGCTTAATGACGTCAAGGTCCAGCCACGTCCACTTACATTATCATGAAAAAAAGTAAGGTTTCAAGGAATACATCTTACAAATGATGTAAAAATATTATAAAACCTATAGAAAGTTATAGGTTATAAAAACAATAAAAGAGGACCTGAGTAAATTTTGAAAGACCTAGATCTAGTCCATGTTTATAATCAGGAAAAGCTTTATACTAGAAAATAAAACGTCTCCAAAAATTGATCTGTTATCCTAGTCAAAACCTTTAATAGATGAAAGAGAAAACTGCCAAAAATAATCAAGACTCCTGAAAAATAAGAACAAGGATGATCTAGATTTATAATAGGTCTTAACATATGATATCACCAAAATATTTTATTATTAACACAATGGTATAATACTGACTGATGAAAGAAGAGAGAGACTGGAAATAAACTACACACAAAAAAATTGATATATGACAAAGGTGTATATTGTTTTCCATCAAGAAAAGAGTATGCCAATTCATATACTCATATCAATTTCAGATAGATTATGGACTTAAGTATGAGAGACAAAAGTATGAAAGACAAAAATGTTTAACTCTTAGAAGAAAATTTAAGAGACTCACTTTACAAGTCTAAAGAGGAGTTTTTAAAACAAAAAAGCACAAAATCACAAAGAAAATTTTGACGAATTGGGCTCTATTAAAATTAAGAACTTCTGTTTATTAAAAATTACCACAAAGACAATGGGGAAAGATATTTCAAAACATAAAACTGGGGACGGGCAATATAACATGAAAAGTTCTCCCACAGTAAATATAGGATAGATGAAAGAAATTGAAATTAAAAATGGCCAAATTCATAAAGATGCATTTACAGAAAGGAAACATGATTGGGCAAGAAACATATAAAGATACACTAATCTTTAGCAGGGAAATGATCAAATATCATGTTACACTGACAAAAAATTTAAAAGTCTTATTATACTAAATATAGGTGAGTATGTTCATCAACAGGAACTCTTACATATTTCTGACAGTAGTATGAACTGGTACAACCTCTTTGGAAAGATATTTGACATTATCAATAAAACCAGAATCCTCACCTATACAGTGTAGCTAGAGAAGAGAAGAGGTTTGCACATAGAAGACCCAGAATTGCCAAAGCAATCCTCAGGAAAAAGAACAAAGCAGGAGGAATAACCCTCCCAGGCTTCAGACTACAGTAATCAAAACAGTGTGGTACTGGCACAAAAACAGACATATGGATCAATGAAACAGAATAGAGAGCCCAGAAATAATCCCACACACCTATGGACAAATAATCTTCAACAAAGTAGGCAAGGATATACAATGGGGAAAAGACAGTCTTTTCAACAAGTGGTGTTGGAAAAGTTGGACAGCTGCATGTAAATCAGTGAAGTTACAGCACACCCTCACACCATACACAAAAATAACTCAAAATGGCTTAAAGACTTGAACATAAGGCATGACATCATAAAACTCCTAGAAGAGGTCATAGGCAAAACATTCTCTGACATAAATCGTACCAACGTTTTCTTAGGTCAGTCTCCCAAGGCAATAGAAATAAAAGCAAAAATAAACAAATGGAACCTAATCAAACTTACAAGCTTTTGCACAGCAAAGGAAACCATAAACAAAATGAAAAGAGAACCTACAGACTAGGAGAAAATATTTGCAAATGATGTGACTGACAAGGGCTTAATTTCCAAAATATACAAACAGTTCATACAACTCAATAACAAGCAAAAAACAAAAAAAAACCCAATCCAAACAGAAGACCTAAATAGACACTTTTCCAAAGAAGACATACAAATGGGCAACAGGCACATGAAAAGATGCTCATCATCGCTAATTATTAGAGAAATGAAAATCAAAACTACAATGAGGTACCACTTCACACTGGTCAGAATGGCCACCATCAAAAAGTCTACAAATAACAAATGCTGGAAAGGGTGTGGAGAAAAGGGAACCCTCCTACACTGTTGGTGGGAATGTAACCTGGTGCAGCCACTATAGAAAGCAGTATGGAGGTTCCTCAGAAAACTAAAAATAGAATTACTATTGATATATGGTCCAGTAATCCCACTCCTGGGCATATACCCAGACAAAACTATAATTCAAAAAGATACATGAACCTCTATGTTCGTGGCAGTGCTACTTACAATAGCCAAGACATGGAAATGACCTAAATGTCCATCAGCAGATGAATGGATAAAGAAGATGTGGTGTGTTTACATATATACACACACAATGGAATATTAATCAGCCATAAAAAGGAATGAAATAATGCCATTTGCAGCAACATGGATGGACCTAGAGATTATCATATACTAAGCAGAGTAAGTCAGAAAGAGAAAGACAAATACCACATGATATCACTTGTATGTGGAATCTAAAATACGATAGAAATGAACATATCTACGAAACAGAAACAGACCCACAGACATAGAGAACAGACCTGTGGTTGCCAAGGGGGGAGGGAAGAACTGGGAGTTTGGGACTAGCAGATGCAAACTAGTATTTATAGGATGGATAAACAACAAGGTCCTACCGTATAGTACAGGGAACTATATTCAATGTCCTGTGATAAACCATAATGGAAAAGAATATGAAAAAGAATAAATATATGTATAACTGAATCACTTTGCTGTACAGCAGAAATCACCACAACATTGTAAATCAACTATACTTCAATAAAATATTTAAAAAAGAGAGAGAGAGAAAAGGTTTGCAGACAGAACCTTCTCAATATCTACAGAAGCAGGTATTTAATAGATTTATACTAGAGATGCTCAGTATACATCAGTCCACTTCATGATCAGAATTGTTGGCAATGGTAGATAACACTTATATAAGCTTAGATAAATAATTTTTCACATATAGTTTTACAAATTTTGGAAGACCTAGTTTTATTCTTAAGGTCTGATTTATATAGAATCAGAGAAATAATAATCTTTCTTATGAAGAAATATATAAGAAAGAATTTGAGTTTTGGTCAAGTCTCCATAACTTATAGGTTAGTTTTAAATTGGTTATTTAAAAATGAATATCGGCAATTAATATTTGTATCTGTGCTGCACATCTACACATTTTAATAGGTGCTGACATGTTCTGGATTTACAAAAACCACTATTTCCTTATGCCATTTGCAAATTAAAACACATTGGAAAAATGTGAAGCCCTATATGTATTTATATTTTTTAGAAACCTATAAAACAGATAATATTAAAAGAAAATATGGCCGAGAGTAAACCCCTACTCATTTTTACTGCTTTCAATATGCTTTTCCATTTGCATAGAGCTTTTTGAATTCTCAGTTATGCTTGTTTTCATTACTGCCTTTTGTTTTAGCCTTGTTTTTTGGAATTTTTTACTATATGCTAAGGAATATAAAACTGGGATACACAAACAAGGAAACATTAGTGACACTATATTTTCATCGAGTAACTCTAAAATGTTCCACATAGGTAGGACTGTGCTGATAGATGGCTGTTTTACAGAGAGAATCTATCTACTTTTAACTATAATGTCTAAAGTGATAGAATCTCTGCCAGTACTTTCTATGAGAAGTAGTACATGATAAAAGAAAATATATGGTTTATGGAAGCAGAACAGGATTTAGAGATTTTGAAGCATATCAATATTTTTGGATTTCTCCCAAAAACTAACTCTTAATTATGAAAGCAATCATAAAAATAATACTGATTTTAATTTTGCTCTAGGAATCATGGCCTTTTCATCATATTTGAAAGGGCTGAATTCTAATGTTTGCGATTCAAAACACATTAACAAAAGGCAAAGAATTATCTCTAAAGCTTATTGCACCATAATGTTTTCCTGGGTTGTTGACAATATGTTCTGGTGAAAACGTTCACATGTTTATGCATCAAAGACTTATCATCTGAGTTAATTAAGCATGAAGCAGAAAACATTTTTGGAGCACTTGTTACTTGGACCTTTTTCATTTCTTTGTGGTGATTCACAGCACATACTGTTTGTGACAGTCACTGGGTTGCTGATAACTGAATGCGTTTTCAAGTTTGAAAAGTCTGATAAGCTTCTTGTCTCATGAGGCCAAAGCACTTAGTTTCTAAAGCTACCAGGCTGCTGTTGGTATAGTGGAAAGAAAAATTAATAGATAAGAAGAGCAAGAGCAGAGGGGGAAAGGAGTAACAGGATTTTTTCTCTTAATCTGGGAAAGCTGTTTACAGAAGTATTTTCCCTAAGCTCTGCTGTCAGAGAACCTGTCATCACACCATGACATGACTGGACTCTGCCAATGATTCTGTGATTCTATAATTTTTAACAGTAGCCTTGAAAACTGCCCAAACAATACTCTTTAATATCTATGGGCAAAAACCCACGTAGGCAAAATGTTTAATTAATTAACATGCTACTTGAGGGCAGAAGCCACAGCTAGAAATAACTGAAGTTTTGACATGGTCTTTAAAAGGCTGTAATAATTAAATTGTGCACATTATCAAAATACTTGAAGTTTCATACCCTGTTGATATAAAGCCTCCCTTCTTATAAATCCCTTTTATATTTCAGATATTTAGTGATTTCAATTTTCTGAAGGAAACACATTTTAAAAGGTTACCTAATGACAAAAGTTTATTCATCAAGCTAACAAATACTTAATTTCTCAGTCATAAACACAAATGAGATTCCTTCTCCTTCGAGCTAAATGGTAAATATTACTTCTTACTCTGAAAAGAGTTGGGCCTGACGTTATTCGCAAGGTGAAACAACTCCATTCGTGAGTTTTTAGAGGACTATAAATGAATTTTTTTCTACATGTTGAATTTTCACAAGTATTCATAAAAGGTATTCAATCTTCCATTACCTGTAAAATCAAATTAACAAGTTTTCACCTTGGCAGTTAACTTATAGTGATATAATTTCAAGTCTTCAAAGTTAATATGTCTATGCTGCTACAAGACCAGTGTGACTCTTACAATAAGCTCTGAATTTTCCTCCTTAGGCATGTATATAGTCAGAAAAATGATAGTATCATTTTGCTAGAATGTGAAAACAAGATATAAAGTATTCCAGTTCAAAATTATTTTCAAAATATTTCAAAAATATTATCTCTAGGTCTCTCATTTCTTTTGGTCAAGGCAACTGTAAGATAGGGGAAAACACAAATACACGAAGGAAATAACTGCCTGCAGGATATCTGTATATGAATGTAAAATTATGAGAAATTTTAGATGGCTAAGGCCAATAGAAGGAATTATCTAAATTGGGGAGGAGGGGGAAATGAAAGAAAGAAAATATATAATAAAGCCAGTCAGTATTTTTTAGCCAATTGAAGGTCTAAAGAGATGAGTGATAATCTACCACTCCTTAGAAGTAGAAATAGTCCTGAATACATGTTGAGATATCATGATCTTTAAAAGAGTTTGTATAAAAAGCCAAGGAATGCAGAATTCCATGTGAACGTGCAGTGGCCATTCCTGCAGGTTTCCCTTTCACCATCTCAAGCATAGGATTTGGTCACTCATGTATAAAGGCAACCGACAGTAACATCAGGTCCAGTGTTAACATCTGGATGCATATGCATAGTTACCTGAAGTCACTAAATGTTTAAGTAAGTTACCACACATGTTATAATTTGTGAAGAAGTTTCTTTTCTTGACCTTTGGTTGATTCTCTCCCATATGAGAATCTTAATGTATTCTCTCTTCAGAAAAAAAAAAAAATTATTTCCTAAGTAAAAAATAATAATGACAGGGGCTTCCCTGGTGGTGCAGTGGTTGAGAATCCGCCTGCCAGTGCAGGGGACACGGGTTCGAGCCCTGGTCCGGGAAGATTCCACATGCCGTGGAGCAACTAAGACCGTGCACCACAACTACTGAGCCCGCGTGCCTAGAGCCCGTGCTCCACAACGAGAGAAGCCACCGCAGTGAGAAGCCCATGCACCACAACGAAGAGTAGCCCCCGCTCACCGCAACTAGAGAAAGCCCCGTGCGCAGCAACCAAGACCCAACACAGCCAAAAATAAATAAATTTATTTTAAAAATAATTAAAAATAATAATAATAATAATGACAAAACTGCCAAATTCCAAATTTTAATAGCAGTTTGATAAATTTTCCACTTACATAAGCAAAATTTTCTTCTTCTGTTCTCTCACCTTGACAGTGATAAATTCCTAGATCTAATGTTTTAAATATATATTTGTTTTCACATGGGCTTTAGTGTACAAGGAATATTCATGCAAATAAACTTCTATTTAGACATACTGATAGACTTTCTTCATTTATCATTAAATAACTTCGAAATATTAAACTATTATGTCCTTTTCCTATATTTCACTGGTTTATTTTAGTCAATGAAAGGTTTCTAGAACATGTGGAAAAAGACCTACACACCAAGCATATTTAAAATTGCTATGTAATACGTGTGTTTTATTATTAAAATAATGTTATTTTATTCAGGTCTACATAATTCAATCTATTTGAATTATCTCCTATTTTATGTAGAATGAAGTGATGGGCTTTTTTTTTTCCAATTGTCTTCTGTACTTGTTTGCTTTAGCAAGAATCAGTGGTCTGGGAATTGCATACCATTGTCGCTATTTATCTACTTTCATCCCTTTCTTTGGTCCTATGTCTCAAAGCACTGGGAAGGAACAAAAGATTGAATGATTTGTCTTGGGGCCAAACTTCATTGACTGACCCAAAAAATACATTGAAATTAAAAATCCTTCTAACCAAACTGAAACAGCATTGTGAAAGGAGTATGAGCACTGATTTTGCACCTGGAAGCTAAGCTTTATGGCCATTTATTAGTTTCACCTTATCCATAGTCCATTGAGAAGAAAGGATAGAAAGCTGCAATTTCTAGAGGCTAGAATCAGACAATAAACAAACTGATCAGTATACAGTTTCAGATTTTGATTTTCTGAGGTTGGAAGAATGGAAATGAGATAAACAGCTTAAAAATTCTAAGAGAAAAATGGAGACTTAGTGATGGGAATCCAAAGCGATTTCATAGGCATTTGTAACTAACCTAAGACATTAAAGGGGAAAAGAAATCTTGAAGACCCTTTGTATCAATGAGTAATAAATCTGGCTATGCATTATAAAAGGCCTTGGGAACTTTTATAATATACTAATGCTTGGACACCATATCCCGGTTCTAATGGAATTTATTTAGAATGAGGCATAGGCATAAGCATTTTTTTCAAAGCTCATAGGTGATTCTATTTTGGAGTCAGGGTTGAGAATCATTGGTCTAAATCACTGGATAGGAATTATCTTGGGATCTTGTAAAATGCAAAATCTGATTCAGTAGCTCTGGGGTGGAACCTGATAGCCTAACAAGCTCCTGGGTAAAGTCACTGCTACCGTTATTGCCACACAGTTGAGAAGCAAAAGTCCTATACTCTGTGAATTTTCATTCCTCCTGGAGGGAAGGTGCTGTATCAGGTGCTTAAGCTCCAGTCAATGTTGCCAGCAGGTTTTGTATTTTCTCCTTAACTCTAACTTTAAGAATATTTCTTTTTAACTTCTATAAACTGACCCTTTCAATATTTATCCCTCAAAGTAACACATCATTCAGACACATATTTTTAAAATAATTCATTAACTGCTATGTGTTATTGCTGGGGTTCCCAACAAAGCAGACCAAGTGACTGAAATTATCATGTGGGGAGTGATAAGAGGCTACTCTTGGAATCAACAGCTGTGGAAACGGAAGAAAGGAGGAGGGGCAGAGGGAGAAGGTGGCCAGTAGGAGCAGGCCTTTACACTCCTGCACTGAACAGTCACTGGATGTGGGCTGCCCCAAGATGGGAATATGACTTTGGGCGAGATGACAACTGAGGGCTGTCTGACAGGAGTGCCCCCAGAGGCTGAGAGAATAAGTCCTTCAATCTTAAAGAAGGATCTTGGCAGTGCAGCATAGAGTCCACTAAAGTCTACTCCTTGTGCTTCTTGAATATCCTTATAAATTCTGGGAGTGGCTCATAGAGGAATACAGGCTTCTTTTCCTAGTGGAAACTTATAAAAGGACGGTCACTGGGACAAATGACAGTCATCACCACTGCAGCTGCTGTCAGGATTATAACTGACATCATCTCTGTCTTCTACCACCCACTGTAGATTCTTCTCTCCTAGACTAGCACTTCTTACTGGGTAGTGTGACACAGTCCCTCGTCCTTGAGGGGTCTGAGCCTTGGACATTATGTTCCCAGGTTGTGGCTGTTACACCTGTCCACTGACCATTAAAATTGTATAAGGAATTATCAAGCAGTGCCCAAGTACGTGAACATATTCTTCCCTGTCCCTATTGTGTAACAGCAGCCCTACCTTCTGATAAAGCAAGTCGATTGCCCCTGTGATGAATCTTCTCATCTGCTAGCCCCTGAACATGGGAAGCCCAAAGTTCCAGGAATATGACACAGCTTATAATTCAATAAAGCTCTTGCTGTGTCCATGGTGAACCTGTTGTATACCTTGGAGAAATAGGACTTCTAAACCCTCAGAACCCAGGGCACACTTGACAAGAATATGTATTTGCTGTTGATGATGGTAGGTGTTTGATATCTATATTCGTTTACTTTGTCCTGAAAACAAACACGAGGTTTCTGGATCAGGGAAGATTAGTAATACGACAGTAAGCACATCTGTTCCCCATACCTCATTTTCCCCCTTCCAGGTGATGCAATGCGAGCCATATGGTTGGGCCTGCAAGTGCACAAAGGAAGTTTCTTGCCCCAAAGGAGAAAACCCCCAAAATTATAATTCTGGGAGCAAATAGGGATTACACACTGCCCAGCTGCCTCCCTTTCCTCCAGAGAGAGAGAAATAAACTTTATCTTCCTGGGATAAACAAATCTTCTCTGGGAAGTGAAGAGGAAGTTTCCCAATTTTTAACCCTTTGGAATGTAAATGGATGACTGACATCAGATTTTATCTGCCTTTGTAATGTAAATACACACCTCTGGGACAGAAATTTCTCAATCTCTCCAGAGGTCTCTATTCAGTCTTCTAAATTCTAGATTTGTTCTTTAACTGAGTTCCAGGTACAGAAAAACTGGGAAAGGATAAACACAAAATTTAGAGCAGAGCTCGCCTATGGAGAGAGGAGATGAATAAGAATATGAGGGGACGCACAGGGGCTTCAAAATATTCCTAACATCCTGTTCCTTAACCTGGATACATGAGTTTCATCTTGTTTTATATAGCTTCTATATAGTTTATATTATTGTGTATGTATAAAATATTGTGAAATATGTGGTTAATTTAAAATTTTTAAAGAATATCAGGACTAGTTTTCCATGCCTCATGTTGCTTTTTATTTACATTACCAGCAGAAATCCCAGCTCACTCACAGTCTGTGCCACACTGCTTTATATATCTCCTAACTTGACACAAATCTACCACAGCTCTTCAGCATCCCAGTGTTTTCTAGATTCCTCTGAAATCCAGGATTAAGTATCCCCATACTATCATCATCATCACTTTCTTTACCTTGATACCTTAACTCAGGACTCTGCAAATTATAGCCAGGTCAAATACAGCCTGATGCCTATTTTTTGTAAATAAAGTTTTAATGAATCACTCATTCACTTACATAAGGTCTATGGCTGCTTTCCCACTATAAGAGCAGAGCTGAGTAGTTGTGGCAGAGACCAGGTGGCCTACAAAGCCTAAAATATTTGTTAGGTGGACCTGTACAGAAAGTATGCCAACTCCTGTCTCATCTAAATCCTGGCTCTTTCCTGAGATCACAGCCTCCACCTAGCCCTCTCAAGACAAGGCTACTTTTTAATTTCCCTTTCATATGTACCTCACAACTGGAAGATAACACAAGGGTGTTATTGATACTTCTAAAC